ATCTGAAGATTGCTTGAAAAATAATTTCTTATTTTTCATCGTTTATTACTATTATACAAAGCATATATTGTAATAATTTTTTTCTATTTTGAGGTGTGTGTAATACGTTTACGCGATAATGTCTCAAAAATAGCCGTGACGGTAGTGCATTTCAAAGCCATGAAAAAATTATTACAACATATATGCTTTCTATAAAAGTAATCAACGATGAAAAATAAGAAGTTATGTTTCAAGCAATCTTCAGATGAAATTTGCGTTTGATCTTACATAGTCACTTCATTAACATTCTTTCTTGTGTAAAACAAAATTTATAAAGCATGCTTCAAAATAGTAAAAGAAGTAACATAATATCTGTTCTTATTAAAGAGAAAACAAGAATTTAAAATAGGGATCAGCTTTCCAGACACTCTGTATGGTTAGTGTAGTCATTGCTTAATATTTGATATTATACCATGTAGACGCAAAGTTCTCGTTTTATTTAACAAGAACTTTTGCGTCTGCATGGTATAATATCAAATATTAAGCAATGACTACACAAACCATATATATAAACTTTAATTCGAATAAGATATATAATTTTGCCAAGTCATTCTGAAGTGTCCCCGAATTTTTTGCGTAGGGCATATACCAAGGTCAAAAAAGCACGATCGTAAACGGTCGTATACGACGAAATACGTCTAGAAACGGTCATCGTACACGACGATCGTATACGATGAACGTATACGGTGCCATACGTTCAAATACAATCAACGTACACGTTGAAAATAAATGACTGCCGTGCACGAGTGTAGTATACGACTGAATATGGTCGTAAGTTAGTCGTAAGTTGAGTTGCATGTGTCGACCATACCCAGGTCGAAAAATGACATAGTAAGATCAGTTATGAATTCTTGTATGATCCTATTCGATGTTACTCAAATCGTATATGTTCATACAAGATGACACAAAAAATCATATGAGAAATTGTCGTCTCAGAAATCTGATGTCAATTCTTCTAGCAAGTTTCTTAGATGCTCCAACACTAAAATCTTGTATGATTATAAAAAAATCTTACAGTAAGGTTTTAACTGATTTCTTTAAAAACATACATTCTCGTCATGTTTCACCTTCCCTGGCAGCTATAGTTCAACTTAACTTCACATAGCCCAGATCTTTTTACTTACTGAATCCGATGCATAGGTGCCTACACCGGCAGTTATCATTACATAATGAAATTCATAGCATAATAGTCACAAAAACTCATGCATAAAAAAGTTTACTCTCTATACCGTTAACAAAGAGAAATAAGAAATAAAAGTTAAGATTTTCTACATTAGCAATATAGAAAAAACAAAAAGCTAAAGAATATGATCTTCCATATAATTAATATGGAAAAGTAAGAAAGAAAATGGGACTTTTTGTACTACTAATATAGAAAAATAAGAAAGAAAAATTAGCATTTTCTATATTAACGGGTGGGGCAAAAGTTTTGCATTAATTTTGTTTTTGATATAACTCTGGAACACAATGTCGGAGTGACTTCATTTTTTTTTGTTAGAAAGAGCAAAGTGTCTACTACAAAAATATATAAAAGAATTTGATTGGAAATGTTTTTCGAAGGCCACAATAATCTTAGAACACAAGGCTTCAAAAAATTCTTCCGCAACTTTGGTCAAATTTTTTTTATTCAAAAATATTTGTTTGAACTTTTTCATTACCCACTTTCGACGCTTTTGAGCACCATATATATACAGTTGTTCAGTACAACGAAGGCTTTCATTTGGTATTAAAATAATTGATATAACATACAAGAGAATGAACAAAAGACAATTTGATTAAAAAAAAATTAATTATTCGAATTTGGTTTTGCATCGGGAAAACAAGCCCTTGTCTGAATATCTCACAGAGAAGTTGTGTCCAATTCCAAATAATATCGTTTGGTAGAGAACTCAATCAGCTTTCTTTTTCATATAAAATATATAGCTTCTGGCAACCTCTCTTGCGAAATAGAGTTTATTTTTTCGACTGCTATCAACAGTGATGAAAAATCGGTGACACAGACGGTATCATAAAAGCCTTCATTTCTACCGTTATAAAACATGTAGAAAATTTCTTTTTTTTGTAAAGCAATAGTGCTCTATCCTTACATTATAAAATCTGCATTAGACGAATAAAAAGAGAATCTGTGTAATTATAGGAAATTTTTTCTCAGTTGAAAAAGGTTGCGAAAGAGTTTTCTAACGCCTTCTGTTCTAAGATTGTTGTGGCCTTAGAAAAACATTTCCAATCAAATTCTTTTATATATTTTTGCACTAGACACTTTGCTCTTTCTAACAAAAAAAAAATGAAGTCACTCCGACATTGTGTTCCAGAGTTATATTAAAAACAAAATTAATGGAAAACTTTTGCCCCACCCGTTATTATTATAGATGAATAAGACCCAAAACTAACTGTTTCTATATCATCAATATAGAAAAATAAGAAATACAAATTAAGATTTTCTATACTATTAATATAGAAAAATTGAAAAATAAAAAATATTTTCTATATCAGCAATATACAAAAATGAGAAATAAAACAAATAGTTATCTTTGTTACCAATGTAGAAAAATAAAAAAAATAAGATTCTCATATCACCAATGTAGAATAATAAGATGTAAAAATCAGCATTTTCTATATTACTACTAAAGACAAATAAGACACAAAACTAACTGTTTCTGTGTCATCAATATAGAAGAATAAGAAATAAAAATTAAGATTTTCTATATTACCAATATAGAAAAATAAAAAATAGGATTTTCTACATATCCAATATAGAAATATAAGAAATAAAACCTAAGATTTGTCATATCAATAATATAGAAAAATAAGAGGTAAGAAGTTAGCATTTTCTATATTATTGTTATCGACAAATAAGACAAACAATATCTGTTTCTATATCTGTTCATACCAAGAGAAAACAGATGTCACCTGTTTAAAAAAATGTAATTTTTATCAGTATCAGACACATTTATTCCTTTACAAATTTGTTTTTCTGACACTCAATTGAAAGGAATAAAACAAATATACCTCTTATTTAAAACTATGTTCGACGTTTTTTCTTCGATCAAGTATGTATTTGAACACAGAGATATTACTCTTCAGTAATAATATCTGTAACGGTAGCAGACATAGCCTGTCTATTTTGTATGCATGTATGTATATCTGTATTCTTTTTCCATTAAGTACTCAATTCTTAACATAAGAAAGGTATCTCGTATTTGATAAATATGAACTTTGTTTTACATAAAGTAGTCAGTTTATAGCAGTAAAAAGATGAATACTTCTTACTTTATACAGTCTGTTTTCATTTCATCTAATATTTAGCTATATACGGATAGAGAGACATTCAGATAGTACCATACTATATAGTCGTTATTGCCAATGAGTAATTCATTCATGAAGTCGAGAGATATTCTTTATCCAATAGAAATTAGTTCGATGATATTAAATCTTCAGTTTTGAATGAGTCTGAAATCGTTATTTTTATCAATTTATTTATTTTTTAATGTTGACTCCAGCATTAGTATAGTAAATTATACATTAGATTATATCTAATACTAATATTTCGATTGTATTAATAATTTACTATTTGATGAATTTTCTTTTTTTTATTTCTGGCTTAGGTGAATATTATTTTTTATTTTTAGACTAGATAAATTTTATTTTGTTATTTTTAGATTAAATAAATTTTATTTTGTTATTTTTAGATCAGATAAATCTTATTTTATTATATTTAGATTAAATGAATTTTATTCTCACATTGGATAAATTTTAACTTTTATTTTTTAGATTAAGTAAATTTATTTTTTACTTTTAGATTAGATAAAGTTTCAATTTTATTTTTTAGATTGAATAAATTTTATTTTTTAGATTAAATGAATTTTATTTTTTTGTTTTTAGATTAGATCAATTTTAACTTTTATTTTTTAGATTATTAAAAGGATAAATAAAATCATAAAGTCTCAATGTAATGGAATGGGGATGTTCAATTTGGCTGGAGGTTCAAGTTCTTGTTTTTCATGCAGCTTTGATGATATATCGAAACAGTACGATGATATATCATCAAAGCTGCATGAGAAATAAGAATCGGGACCTCCAGTCAGACTGGACACCCCAAAGATTAATTTTTCCATCTTTGGAGAGTTGGGAGGGGGGAGGGTAGGTAGCAAAAATTTTGAATAAAGCACGATGACAATCCACATAGTATACGACTGTGTACGATCGTTTACGGTGGGCGTATATACGTCGTATTTCGTCGTATACGACACGACGATATGCGGTCGTAAATCTGGTGTCAAGTAATACGACGAAATACGGTCGTATACGATCGTAATTTACACCGTATACGACCGTACACGATCGAATACGACGACGTATACGATCGTTTACGACTATCGTAATGCTCGTCCTGGGTATATGCACATAAGATCTGTTAAATGAATGGTGTTTTAACACTGAGTCATGTATAACCATACAAGGAAACTAGCAGCTGTTAATTATCATTTTTGGCATTATTTACATCTCCCGAACGCTGCTGAATTTCGAAAAACGGATTTCAGATGTGCACTCGTCATGTTCTCAGGATCTCGCCAAACTTTTTTTCGGCTAAAAATGATAATCAGGAGCTGAGAACGAGTGGGTGACTTGAATCGTGACTCATGTGTTGAGAAGAAGAAGAAGAAGAAGAAGAAGAATTTGCCATGGCAACTAAGCTAGTGAAAAACAATAAGTCGGCTCTGCCTGCCCTTCGTGCAGTCAGCCGACTTAAGGAAGAAGAAGGAGAAGAAGAATTTGTCATGGCAACTAAGCGAGTGAAAACCAATAAGTCGGCTCTGACTGCACTTCGTGTAGTCAGCCGACTTAAGAATTTGCCATAGCAACTAAGCGAGTGAAAAGCAATAAGTCGGCTCTTCCTGCACTTCGTGCATGCAGTCGACTTAAAGAATGCTCGTCTGTTTGAAAAAATATTTACTTGTTTTATGAATTTATTTATTAAAGATGGAGTATGGTGCCTAGAAAATGTAACAGAGTGGTTTGCTCGTATAGAAATGCAATTACGAGGTACACCATATTCACATATACCAATTAGGGTAAAAGTACACCTAAATACAATAGATCGCAAACGAACGAAAAATCTTGTGAAGAGACTGTGAAATTTTGTGACAAAAATATTACGACAAGATTTCCTTCGTAAAATGAAGATGCTGAATTATATAACATTATTCGAGAAGTACAAAACTCATTCTCGTAATCATTCAAAATCTTGTTTATAATATCATCAAACTTAATCGTTTTTGGTTTCCACGTTCTGTTGTTCAATGGACATTCAAATATGTACCGATCCAAGTTGAGAACGATGATAATAAACAACGTACTAAAAAAGTAAAAGAAATTGTCATGAAAATGAATGCAACAATGAATGCATTAGAAAAAGAAAAATACTGTTATAGTCTGATTTCGATAATCTTCTAACAAAGCGTATAATTTGACTTATGAGGAGTACGCATATTCACTTAAATTAGTTGATACCAGAACTATCATTGTTCATAAAAGAGAACCCAATGTATGAGGAGTTAATCAATATAATGAAGAATTACAGAGAGCTTGGAATGCTGATATGGATATTCAATTTGTACTTGATCCATATGCTTGTGCTAAATATCTTATGTCATATACAACAAAGCCAGAACGAGAGATGAGTTTATTACTAGAAGCAACTCATAAAGAATGCCGTGAAGGAAATATGTCTGTTCGTGGAGAAATGAAAAAATTAACAGGTATATTTTTTAATCATCGACAAGTTAGTGCACAGGATGCTATTTATCGTGCTGCTAAAATGCCACTGACACATTCAAGTCGAGGCTTTGTTTTTGTACTAGCACATTCGAATAGTGGTAAAGTTTTAAAGCCATATAATATATTAAAGCAAATGAATCCAGATGATGAAAAAATATTTATGTCTAGCTTGGCTGACAAATATTTTGATAAACCAAAAGATTCTGAATTCTGTATTTGTATGGCAGATTTTGCATCTGAAAATGAAATCATATCAATCACAAAAAATATTAAAGATCCTAAGGAATCAATTAAACGATTACAAACACCAAATTTGCTATTAAAAAACGTTGTAATCGTAATGCTATTATTCGATATTCGTATTTCAATTGAGCAACAGATAGAGAAAATTGTTTTTTTGAAAATCTACTTTGTCTTTATTTACTAATAAGAAGTCGAGAAGATTTTAAAAATCTTATGAACTATGTTATCAAAGAGGTGAAGTTGTTGATTCTCGACAACAATGCATAAGAAAGGTAAAAGATGTTGCGCATGAAAATCAAAGAAAATATGAAGCTCACGTCAAAGAACCAGGCGAGACAGAATCATTATCTCAATGTATTGTCATTGAATATGAAAGACAACGAATGGGCTGAAATGTACATGGTCAAGAGAACTTGAACGAAAAGATAATCTTGATTTGAATATTATACATGAAAGAAAAAATAAAAATATATTCAATGACTTGAAGCAAACTTATTCAACTATAGATGAAATAAGACCATTATTAGCATCAATCAACGAAGAACAACAAGAAATACTCTATCGTGTTCGAGAATGGTGTACAAAAGGTTTATATAATTCGAATGTCGAGCCTCTTCGTCATTACAGGAGGAGCAGGCACAGGTAACAGTTATCTTTGGAAATATCTCCATTACGAAGCAAATAATACTTTTTCTCGTAAAAAATACCACTTAGAATCTGATTCATAGCGCATTCGGTATTGGTACTCAGTCTAATAGCTTAAGTGATCAAGTGTCTTATGATAAACTGAATAGCTATCGATGTAAATTGTGTTCTCTTAAATTATTATTTGTTGATAAGGTTTGTCTCATACAAGCAAATCTATGGGGTGCTATGCATTCTCGTCTTACTCAAACAATGGGTATACATCCGAATACAGCTATTTTTGGTAATGTTGAAATAATTGCTATTGGTGACTTTTGTCAATGATCACCTGTAGCATCTTCAAGTATTTATTCATCCTTACTTTGATCAGATCATTTTGAATATGTTGAAGTTAAAATAAATGAAAGACAAAAAACAAATTTTTCATTTTCTCAAATGTTAAATAGCATCCTAAAACTAAAGAAAAAAGAGGATAAAAACAAAGAAGATCGTAATATCCTTGAAAAATGTCCTCAGTTTTATTTAAACAAAGAATATCATCCAGAATCATATTACATCTATTTGCTAGGAATGTTCAGGTTGATGCACATAACGAAGAAATGATTGAAAATGTTTGTACTACTACCCGAACATAGCATGAAATTGATACCAATGATAAAGAAGTAAAACAAAACGATTCTAAACATTCACAAAAGAATAATAAACTTCTATGGCTTTCTAAAAATGCTCGAGTCATGATAACAAAAAATAGATATGTAAATGATGGATTATCAAATGGTGTAACAAACCCGTATTATGGATTTTGTCGAAAATAATAATACAGAGATTTCACAATAATAAAATGCGATTTATCTACAGTTGTAAGTATTCGTCACATTAGTTGCTCACATTATCATAGAAAAGATAGAATATATGTAACAAGAGAAAGTAACAGCGTTGATCAACACGATTCTGATTTTCGTTCAAGGAAATCAATAAAACAATTTCCTTTACGGCTTAGTTGGGCGATGACTATGCAATTCCACTGATCTTTCTTTCCTCGTGCCTCTTTATCCTCTCTCTATTGTTCTCGCCTGTGTTCATCTCTTCCTCTCTCTCCTATATAAGAGTGTTTTATATGTGAGGTAGTTACATTTTGGACATGTGAAGTAGCTAAGTAAACATCTTTGGCGCGAGTGGTGGCAAGCTACCCATCCAATTTGTCGTTACAGATAATTTACAAACTAATTCGAAATTATTGCGATAACATTGAGGAAGCTAGGTTTCGTAAATATATTTAGACACATAACTACAACTAACAGCTTGGTAAGCCTTGGTTAAGTATATTTGAATTTTGTTTCATATGAAAAAGGATGCCAACACGTCATGGGAATTTTCTATAGTCTTCATGAAGCATTATCTATATCAATTAATATTACGAAAGAAAATGCAAATAACTATATTGAAACTAAATATGGAGACAATGACAGCATGGAAATTCTACTTCAAACTCAGTATCATCAGTTACCATAATTTCTAATAATATAAATAAACGTAAAAGTACTTCAATAGAAATAAATGATAATAAAAGATTTAAAAGGAAAACTCTTTTATCAGTTATGAATAACAATAATGATAATGTGATTCATGATGAAAAAAATTCCAATTTAAGGGAGATAATTGAGGTAAATAAGTTTTAAAGCACAGAATAGTTGAAATATCTCTCAAATCAAAAAGAAGCAATATCGCTCAGCGCATTATCGATCAGTAATTGCGCATTTCATTCATTAACTGAACAAATAAGAGTTTTAAATCTTCGTACAATAAAAAATTATCGGTGATGGTAATTGTTTCTTTCGAGCTATATCTCATCAGCTTTTTGGTACTCAGACATACCATCATGAACTAAGACATTATGGAATAAGATATATTACACGAAACAGTTCTGCACTCGAATCGTTTATTAGTGATGACAATAATACTATTTATGATGACATTATTCGTATGAAGGGAGATAAAAAATATGCAGATCATTCGATTATTATAGCCACAGCATCAATTTTAAATCATAATATAATCGTGCATGAATATAGTAAACGTCCGTTACTTAATCCTGGTTCTGATTATATTGATCGACAACTTCACGTTGCATACAATCCATATTATCAATATTATGCAAGTATCAAACATTACAATGGAACTATTCATATTTTGTTCTATGATTACTAATTGTATTTGAGTTGCTAATTTTAAAGTTTTTATTTTGTCTTTTTTTGTTAACTAATTCCTTTAAATTATTTGTAATGTTTTTGTATGACTTGTTAATATATATATATTTTTATGCTTTTCTGTATTGTACAAAACAATTTTGTCTACTCAATACTTCTGTCACATATAGCTCGACTGAATATACAAGTAAACAAATGGAGTTTTTTTTCATGAAAATAGTCTATAATCTAATTTTTCTCAGGACATAAAACACCGATAAGTCCTGGTTAGTTCAATTACTTGATAAACAGTAAGAATGCAGTAAAATATTTGCTATTGATTATAAATAAAGAATCGTATAGATGATGAAATGCAATCGACAGCGTTCATTAGAAACATGTTGATAGGGTTCTCGTATTGATGAAGTGGGCCATGTCTGCTTTCACTGAAAAGCGTTTTGTAATAAATCATAGAAGCGATTATTTGTTTTTTATGAAATATCAATTTTTTCGATGATCGACCTTCGTAACTTCGCATTGCATTTCAAGGGTGTTTGACTATTGATAGTCCAACAGCTGAGTTGAACAAGGACGTGGGCAATACGAGAAACAGTTGCAGTTCGTTTTACTGTAGAAGCCTTAATGAATGGCAGGAGCGTAAATAGGGGGGCCGTTGCGCATTACGCCCCCCTGCTTTTGAAATTCTCTATGGCAACGCCCCTCCCTGGTTTGAAAAATTGCTTATGTAGTACGCCCCCCTCCCACAATACTTGGAAGTTTTCGTTATTTTCACTAGTAAAAAGGGCGAAAACAGGCATGAAGTAGAAGCTTACTAACTCTTTTGCAAAAAGTGCTGAATTAAATAAGTCCATATCAAACAAGATATAAAGTGAAAAAAAATTTCCCTTCGCGAAAAGTGAGGACTTTACAATTACAACTGACCTAAGAAGTCTGATATATCATTTAAACATTTTCTTATAGTACTTTTTACGCGTAAGAGTTTTATTTTTTAAATGGTCACGAGCGCGGCCGCCTTCGGCGGCAAAAACTTTTAAACAAATATCAATGGTTTCATTCAACGACCATTTAGTTTTTGGAACGCAACAACACTGAAATAGAATTTAGACCTGCCGACAAAGCAATTTCGCTTGCATAAATGGTATCAATTGCATAAGCCTAACCATATTTTGAAGGCTTAAAACCTATTTCTAGGAAGTTTCTATTAATGCTGCGTTCTATAAAGTATCATTTTCATCAATAGTCGCTGACGTAAACGTCTTCGGCGTTAGACACGTCTGGAGACGCTTTTGACTCCATACGATAACAGTTTTCTTCCTCAAAATGAAGGAAGGTGGAAAAACCAAATTTTTTTCATATTATAAGATGTTTCTACGTTGAAAGTATTTTTGTAACACAATGAGCAAAAGAAGATTACAGTACTGAAAAAGATTTAGATAGGTCTCTCAATCTGGATTACCTCGGAGCAACCGTGTATCCCTTTTATACTCATCCATCTTTCTGTCATTACGTCTTTGTGTGCGTCTCTCTTCTTTTTCATCCATGCTTCTTTTCTGCTGTAGTGTTCCCCATGTAAAAAAATTGGATTAAGAATCAGGTTAAAAATTGATTATAATAGCACTATTATAACCTGATTCAAATCAGATTTTTCAGCTTTAAATGACAAATTTAATTTAATTTTGATTGTTTTAAAGCTATTATTATAGTAGTTGTTGGTAATCGATTAAAATCGATAGAAAAAATGAAAATCAAATAAAATTTGCCATTTAAAGCTGAAAAATCTGATTAAAATCCGGTTATAATAGTGCCATTATAATCGACTTTGAATCTGATTCTCAATCCCAATTTTTTACATGGGTTTCTGAACTGTATTGTCTACACAAAAAACACATAGCAAACAACTAGAAATCCATTTTTTTAGACACGCGCTATCTCAGTCACAATTTTTTTTAATATCTCCCCAAAAAAAAACAATTCAAAGGACTACGCCCCCTCCCTGCCTTCAGTGGTGACTTACGCCCCTGATGAATGGATGCGATAGGTTTCATGAAATAGCAAAACAGAAGTGTTTTTCTGGCCTCTCATGATTGTAGTTATTTCATTGTGCTTGAACTGTCCTTGAATGAAGATGTAGGACTCATCTGACTCGCTATATACATTATTTTGATACAACCTTCACGAATTGTACTTGGATATTTGAACTATTTTCTGAGTTTTGTTCTAGTTTTTGATACTTCGTGTATTGGAACAATATTGAACAGAAAATTTTAATTTGAATACTTCTAGCTGGTAAATATAACTGTCTTGAGAAGTCGATTTCTACAGAAGATTAATTTGATATGAATCAAAATAAACGAGTCACATTTAAATAAATAATTAAGATATAAGTTCTTTCTGAATGAATGCAAGTTATGATAAGGTAATTCTTTCGTTTTGGCTTTTCAGAATCGGTAACAGTGTAATGGTAGTCTATTTTACGACAGATAAATATTAAATATGTTATATACAGTTTTGAATAAAAATTGAAAGTACATAGTAAGCTTCATCTTTTAATAAAGCTCTTTATTAAATTCGGTTAAGTAATGCAATAATTTTATTGTGTAGAAAAATGTGACTAAAAACTGTTATCACTGAATACAAGTACAAATTTAAAACGCTAAAACCATTTAATGTCGAACCATACTTCGTTCGATACCTTCACTTTGCCACTGACGTGCATTTTCAAAACCATTTTTACAAGAATGATAATCTTCCATAGCTTGTTTAATTTCTACAAGGAAAACGAGCAAAATTGAATAATTTTCTTTAAAATTAAACAATTTTATTTACCTTCATAAGTATTCATTACAAATGGACCATGTTGAACAATAGGTTCATTAAGTGGTTGTCCAGCAATAAGAACAAATCGACAATCATTCTTATCACTTGTATTACGAAAATCTAAACCATCACCATTTTGTGATAATATAAGTACGTGATGTGCATCAGCAAGTGTTTTTTTCGAACCAAATTCACCTTGTCCACTAAGTATATAAACAAAAGCATTCCAATCTTGTGGTATAGCTTGAGTGAATACAGATGAATTTGGTTTCAGTGTAAAATCAAGATATAACGTTGGTGTACGAGTATATACAGGAGATTTAATTGACATTGATTCACCAGCACTATATTTAAAAAATACTTATTGTTAAGATTTTATTATATACAAATACATACATTATTTTTACATGTACCAAATCGTCAGATGTGGCTGCACGAGGAATATCTTTATCAAGTAATTCTTGATAATTAGGTTCGACCATTTTATATTTTTTACTTAGATTAATCCATAATTGAAGACCATGACCTTCACCAGAGTCTTTTGCTGGCATTTCAGAATGAACTATACCCCGACCAGCAGTCATCCATTGAAGATCACCTGGATTAATAACACCTCGTCGTCCAGTAAAATCTTCATGTTCTGTTGCACCTGTTAACATATAAGTAACAGTTTCAAAACCACGATGTGGATGATCAGGAAAGCCAGCCGGTGCCGAAACTCGAAATTCATCGAGCATTAAAAATGGATCAAAATTTCGTACCTATAAATCATAGCATGCCAATATTGACTTTTGAAAACTTAAAAAATTCAAACTTAATTTACATACTTGTGAGGTACCAATTGATCGCCGTACTCGGGCACCAACACCTTCACCTTGTTCAATACTAAGAACCTGTTTTTCTACGTAGCGTGTCATTATTTGATATGTATTGATAAATGTAGAAAAAAGAGCTCTATTTATACCGAATATTTGTTTAATCATATATATTCATATCTGTGTCGAGATGACAAGGCATTATATTGTAACTTGAATACTTCCTAAGCTTCCTAAGTGTGACAGTGCAAAAAAATCTGACTCATACACAGAGCAATGAATGCTTGAATCAATAGAGGACTCTGTTGTCTAGAAGTCAACAAAGAAATAAAAACAGTAAACTCCATGCAGCGTTGATAATATGCAGAAATCTTTCGACAGAATAGAGATATTCGTCGAAAAGAAGTAAAAATATCTCATTGCTAAGACCACTGCCGATCATTCTATTCTTTAAAAAGCTACCCTGAATGGCGTCAAAAAGCTATAAGAACAGTTCAATCCCTGCCTAAAACGAAAAGAAGATGATAACTAGTTTTAGGACTTGTATATCGAAAAATTCTTAAAAGAAAGCTAATTGTCTAATTCAGATGTTTGGAGTTGAAAAATATCCTTGGAATCCAGAGAATTATGACAATCGTTTTTCTAACGTTTTCAGATTTTTACGAACTGTGATATCAATTTAAGACGGGCGAGATGAACATTAAAACAGTAGTGTTCTGCATGAGTACAAATTTTCATAACCAGGCTCAAACCAGAGCTAATCTTGCCAAGTCGAATCCGGAGATAAAATAGACCATTTCATAATGATAAATAAAATCATCAAGAACTATTCATTATAGATCGTCAAAGATTGTCTAACGATGGCTTTAAGATCCTTCTTTGATTCAATGTGAAAATGGTGTGAAATTGGTAATAGAATCGGTATTAGTTTCTGCTGTAGCATTGATGTTCTTCTTAACAACAACCACGTTTTTTTCCTTTTTTGATTCGTTAAATTAGTTTCAAAAATAAGTCGTCGAAACAGCAATTTTCATAGAAAAAAAAAATATTTAAGCATCGATTTAAGGATCAATAATTACTTAATAGTTATTTTCTATCCTTTTTTATGTCCATCAAGATCTTTGATAGACTCATATGTTTATTGATTGATCTTTTTATGAGTTGAAGTTTCGCTGTATACAAGTCAAAATAAAGACGCTTTGAAGCATATTTAAATGAAATAACAATACTATGAAGTAATAACTGATTTCGTTATATTTCCTGAGTTAAAATAAATCCCTCCTGCACATATTAACATAATTATTAGAAATTTTGATTCCGAATTACAAAAAAGTTATTAAAACCAAATTGACATATAGTTCGGAAATCTGAAATTCTAATTGAACAATAGTTTAATAAACTTTTCAAATTTAAATATTTCATAACGATAATAACAGATTTATACAAAACCGTAATATCTTTCATGTCTATCAAGTACTCTAATCACTAAGTCCAGAATTGCTGTTCGAGATATCTATGCTTAATGAAAGTTACTTAATGTTATCGTCTTTTTCTATATTGATATGCACATTTCTTTTTATCCACTTCTTCGTAATTCTTTGCGTTTTTAATATAATGTATACTTTCTTTTCACAACAGATTATCGTTAGTAAACTATTTTAGAAACAATGAAGGAGCATATTTTTTCCGATCATTTCATCTGATATTAATCATGCCCAATACTATTGGTAGTCAACATTTAGTTTGTAAATACATCCTTTATAGTAACAACAATTAAATCGCTATTAGCCAACAATAAATATCATCTACAGGTAAATATGTAAACAAGAAAAACATAAGAAATATCAACAGTAATCTAAAAATAAAACAAAATATGCATAAAATGATTAATCACTTCAATTTATTAATACCTGTCGTTTTTGAAAATAATGTTTATTGTATAGAGAACGTGGTTTTAATCTTAATACATAATAAATATCTTTTATTGCACACAAAAAAAAAGAAAACAATGAGTTTAACACAATAGACTAAACTACTTCTAGACACATGGTAGATAAAACCTCAAAAGATGTCGTTAGATGCCATTATAATCTTTCAATATTCATTTGATATTTTAAAAAATTTCAAAATATTTTTTTACTGTCTAAAAAAATCTTATCTATAATATTTCTGAAATAACTTTTCTAAGTTGATTCTTATTGGTTCCATGTGTTGCACACGACCTCAACAAAGATCAAAATACTGTCAGGCAGTCGATATATGTAAAATCACTCATTCTTTCATTTAATGGTTATTTCTTTCGACGGAAAAAGTTAGGTTTTTTTTTTATTCGTCGTCTATTTTTCTCCCTCTCTTATTTATTTGTATTATTCAATCATACAAATATAAAAAGCCTTGACAACAATCTAATTCAGTGAATTCCTTTCTATTTACAAGATTATCATACACAAACGTATTATTATAAATTACCAGTGAAAAATGGCTGATGCTAAAATTGATATGGCCTTAGGTAAGATCAAAGAAAGAATCCCTATTCTTAATATTCTATTATGAATTATTTTTTAGATGACATTATCAAAAAAAGTCGTAATGGTCCAGGAAATCGACGTGGTCGAGGTCGTGGAGGAAATCAAAATCAACGTCGTGGTGGTCGTATTAGTAAAAACAATACTAATAATAATCGTGGTCGTGGTGGTAACTTTCGACGTGGTGGTGGTGGTCGTAATTCATTCAATCAACGAAATAATAATCGTTCAAACAAGTACGATTTCAGAAAAAAAACAAAATCTGCTCAACTAAAATAATTCATTTTTCTTTAGTTTTCGTCAACAACGTGGCAGAGGAAATAGAATTCCAGGTTTTAATCGACGAAGTATAGGTGGTGATAAACCTACTGCAACGGTAAATCATTTAATCAACATCTATTATATACTTTATAAAAAACGCTGCCGTCTAACATCCGATCCTTTCTTTTAATTGAATATATATACATATAATCGAGTTCATTCAACAAATATCTATAAAATTTCATTAACAATGATGTATATATAAACTTGCGACGTTTCCCTGGGTACGAGTGTGGTACTATGATGATGATAAGTAGAAAATTTATGGATAGAGGACGGCAGCATTGAACTTCGTCTTGATTGGTTTCTCGTTCGTTCCATTCAGTACAATCCATTGAGTCGTGATGTCAATCCAGCAACATCGAAACAGCAACAACAACAACAACAAAATCTAACAACTCCACGAAAACAACAAGGTCAATATACAATAAACAAAAAAAAAGATTTTTATTTTATGAATCCAATATTCAATAGGTAGTATATTTAATAAAATGCGAACAAATCAAAATGTTGGTGCACTTCGACGACGTATGGTTGCTGCACAACGTGCATTAAATCGTGCAACGAAAACACTGGCATCATTACCAAGAATTAAACAACAACGACAAAGATTTCTTCAACAACCACAAAAACTTGTAAAATTTAAAATTTCATTAACAATTAAATAGAATTTTTTTATTTATTTAGAGAAATATTATCACACGAGCTAGAGTTGGTGGCGGTGCTGTACGAAAAAGGTAGACGAAAGAAAAAAAAAACGCTTTTTACAATTCATTGAAAATGTGTTTTATTTTAGATTAACTAATACTCGAAAAGTAAGTATTCAATAAAACCAATTTATTAATCTAATAAATAAAATTCATTTTCAGCCAATTGGTCGTGGTGGAGCACGTCGTATGTTTGTTTAAAATAATTTTTGTGACAATATTTCTACATCAATAAAACATTCTCTTTTTCGTGTGTTTGTGTGTGTGTGTGTCTATCTGTTAATCTTGAACTAAACAGTTGTTATGTATCACTTGTGTTTTGTTTTGTTTTTTTTGTGTCATTTATATATTGTTAAAACAACCCGCCCCGCACATTCAAGTAGCTTCTGCAAGAAAAAAAAATATGAATTTATCCTCGTATTTACTCTTTGTATATATATATAAGGGAATAAAAGATAAAAAAACATACACAAACACAGTATTGAATAATTTGTTATTTTCTTTCGAAAATAATCACAAGATGAATATCATCAAATCATTTGTTTGTATAATTTGTTTTTTGTTATACCTTCAGATATAAATTTTTCAAAAAAGAAAAATGTTTGATGATATTAATCTCGTAAAGTTATTAAGTTCATCTAAACCGATTGACATAGCTCGTAACCTAACTGATGAACAAATACGTCTAATATTGCCATCATTGATTTGGCTTGGTTTACAACAATGTCCAAAAAATCATCGTTTAACAATATCAGCACAACTTTTACAAATAGTTTCACGTTTTCATGATATGGATTCAATAATTGAATTATTTGAAATTGATTTTCATACATTAAATATAGAAATCAAACGTTTACAAAGAATTAAACAAAAAGTTGTTGAAGGAGGACAACAGAATAGTAATGTTTTAATAAATCAAGAAATAATTACATTTGAACAAACAACAGCTAGAGATAGATGTAGAATTGTAGCTCAAATTTTATTTGATAATTATGAAAAAGATCAACAATTAATAACAAGTAAGATTTCATTCTAGTTTATTTATTATATGAGAAATTTCGTCAAGTGACCCTGATTGTTTTATCACAAATAGTATATTCTTGTTGCTAAAGACATCGGTACGTTTTGATCTTAGACTACGCTCAATATTTTTATAAGATGCGTTTGTGGAAGGTAAGAAGACTTTCTAAATGTTGTTTAGGTGAAAAACAACTAATGTGAGAGATAGAACCGGTGCGTCTTAGCTATTGGTTCGCTGGCATGATCTCTCTCCTCAGTACAGTATCGTTATGGATTTCAGACTGGTTTTTATCTTTGTTTAGAAGTTTTTCATTGAACTCACGTTATTTAGCGAGTGATAGTGGTGGAGATCAAAGAAAAATATGCGACCATCGAAAGAAAAATTCTGATTTCTTTTATTGACGAAAAGATATAATAGAGAAGCAGAAACGCTTCATAAGAGGAACAGATGCTCTATTGTGAGCTTCTTCATTGTTGAAAACATTTCAAAGGCATGTAACATTAGTCGTTGAAGGTGAAAGAAAATTTTGGCAGGGTTCAGTGAATGTGGCTAAAATTTTTCGTATAGTGCTTATTCACTTGAAATAAAGGATGCCTGTTTCGAGTCATAAACGATGCATGATGTACTATTTAAATATAAAAAAAACAATGTTTTTGGTTTGTCGGAGGCGATGAAAAAATATTGGCATTTATAGAGTCAAATGTGATACGCTGCTCAAATCTGTCCATCTGATGGTAGAAAAAAGTGTTTGAGTTTACGAAGCGTGAATTCTAGGGAAGGCTTCCGCTTTTCCGAGGATTATTGCTCGGTCAGTTATATCTGTTTCTAAGAACTTAAACACCGTTTCACAAATGTAATAGACTATTCAGAAAGAACCTCAGTAAATGCTTACAACGATAATAAGTAATCTAATTGGATATCAATTGACATATGTGATTAGAAAAGATGGCATATTTTTTGTAGTCTTGAAACATGTACAAATTTGACTCTACGTATCTGTTAAAGGATTTAACTTTTTAGCCTGAGAAGCTCATTGAGACTAATCAAAAAAGCAATAATTTCATGTGAAAAGCGATTTGATAGTTGAGAACATGTCGTCGTTAATCTCATTTCGTTTATATTCTTCATTTATTTTTATTTCATTACTTTACTTTGTTTTTTCTGATTTTCATAAGCCATTCCATATTATAGAAACTAACAGTTGTGACTGTAAGTGTGACTTGTCAATATATAAAGGTACATTGAAGAATATATTCTTTGACACTCATTGTTCCCGAAAAAAAAGAATCTTATGATTTAATTCATAAGTCAAACAATTATTTTGTATATAGATTTTTTGAACTTGATATTAATTATAAACTCTTTTGTTTTTGTTTTATAAAAGGTCTTCTCGATGAGCCAAATCATATTCGAATCGTCGGTGATGTTATTTGTGTACTTGTACTTCATTTATCTCATTCATTTAAATTTGATATACTCATTTCTAATCTCCTATATTCAAAACATGCATATGAATATTTAATACGTCTTATTCTTAATATTCCAACATTAAAATTAACTTTAGCTGAACTTATTGTACGTTGTTTACATAATGATGATATACGTTATCGTGTACTTCATACATTTATTAAATTATATCCAATACATAAATTACGTCTTTTACGTTTATGTCATCAACGACAAACACTTTTACCATTAATTCTTGATTTATTAGATTCTTCAACAGTGAATATACTTCTTCTAATACTTTCTAATTCTAAACAACGAATATGGTTTAAAAAACATCAAACATCCGAACTTGTACATAATCTTATTAAAAAATTATTTGAACTCTATCGACAAAAACAATGTTCAATAGATTCAATTTTCAAAATAACTGCAATTCTACATGTTCATTGTAATGTGAAGTAAGAGAAATCTTAAAAATTGAACGAATATTGCAAAAATTCCTTGGACTTATGTCTTTCGATTTTTCGTCTGCAAAGATAGGTATTGGAAAAATAAAATAAAACATATTCAGGATCTATGTTAAAGGAGTTTTCTATCTGCGGGGTCTAAATTTTTAATCTTAGGTTAATTTTGAGTAATCTGTACATGTTTGAACGACATTAAAATGTGATCTGTCAAGAGAAACAATTCTAGGGAAACAACTGATCTACGTCTTTTTATATCGTGTTCGTATCAAATTGTGTTGATCTTTTTTACATGAGATTGTCTAGTTCAGTCCTGTGAAAAAATGTACTTTTCAGGTATATGATCAATTTGTATTGTTTAGTGTTTCGTTCACTTTCCTTATGTTCGCCATTTATAGGCTTCGTCATATTTATATTCTAATTAAATGATGTAGCTCAAATTTAAAAAAATTTCCATCAGCCATCACCATTGTTATCTCTAGTTTTCAAGATATTTCATAGATCTTTGTTTTTCTATTTTTTTCATGATATAATTTAAAACTTTGAAGACACAGTTAAAAAAAACTCTTTCAATACACATTCTAAATAGTTAGTTTTGTATTTTTCTGAAATCAATCTTTGCAGATGACAAGTAAAGAAACCTTTATCTAAGAACTTTGGCAACAACTGTTATTTCAATTTTAATTGACGTGCTTTATTTTTATTTATTCATTTAGATTTTCATCCGATGAAGTTCAACAATTACTTGATGTATTGCTTTCACCAACGACAAATGTAACATTAGGTTTATGTTTTTTATTTATGATTCCATCATTAGTAGAACGTAATGAACAAACAATTATTGAATGGCTTGTACCAACAATGTCATCATTATCAACAGATGATAAATTATTAATGATTGGACTTTTTTGTATGACAAATTATAATGAAGTAAGATATCTACAAAGGTAATTTAAAAAAACTAAAGTTCAATTTCAATATTTAGCCATTGAATGCTCTTGTTTCATCAACACTTGATTTTCCTTGTCGAATTGATCCTGGTCCTTTTCATCATTCACGTCTTTTACTTATTCAACGTGTTTTTACAAATGATTTACTTGTTCAACGTTTTGCAACAATACAAATAACGTCAAATTTAAATGCAAATATTACAATAAAACATATCCCAGCACATTTTATTTGTTATCTCTTATCAAAAGGTCTTTGTAATCAACATCATGTACAAATGAGTTCATGGGTATGGTCACAAATACTTCAATGTACAACACCAATTCATCCAATCATGTTAACTCTCATCAATGAATTAGTTACAACAATTGTTGATGCACGTTATGTATGGCATTTAACACCTATAGATACACAAACTATATATGATCATTTAACATCCTCGGAAGATCATATACCAACGAAAATGCTTATTTTACTTTATTTACTTACATTAAATGATCAAGCAACTGGTGATATGGCTAATCGATATCATCAATCAACAAGAGCACTTTTTGATCTTTTGCCTTTACCACATCTTGTTGAACAATTAACAACTAAAGATTATGATGCTATAGCTCCACAACTTGGAAGGTAGACAAAAAATTTTAATAAGTCTTACGGAATTAATTCATGAATCAGAGCTTAACAATATACCCCAAAATAGGAGCATTCTTCCTTTTACAGTAGAAACGATTTACCCTTCACTTTAAAGTCCGCCGGATCTGTCTGGGTCTGGAGCAAATTTCGGAGATTCTATCTCAAACAGTCAAGAAGAATTTCTTTCTTTAAAGAAAAACAACTGTCAATCAAGTTCATTTAAAACGAAAGAAATAAAAGATTCACAAAGAAGAACTCATTCAAACATTTCTACCTTCACAAGATGTGAAAAAGATTTTTTTTCATTCTAAAGAAGCAATATCTGTTTAGTGATCCTGTATTGATTTTGATTTTTTCGATCGAAGAAGCTCTTTCAAAAAAAATAGTTGAATCTTATAAAAATAGACTAAGAATTTTTGGGGTTTAAGAATTTGGATCTATAGGAGATTTGTGAAATTCCAGTAGCTCCATTTTCTCGTTTGAGAAAAGCTTAGTTCTCACAGTTTAGTTATGTTTGGTGAAATTCAATAATTTTCGGCGAATAGGCCTTTCTCGACCGAAAAAGTCGAAATGAATCTAAGATCACCGCCTTCACCATTATTTCATTCTTGCATGTCTAGACTAGTCCATCGATCTACAGTTGCAATCCTAACCTTTCCATCGACTTGTCTTTTTGTTTACTGCTGACTTTCATTTTTTCAGCATTCGAAAAACGTACTTTTATGCAAAAATCATTCTGTGAAACAAGATGCTAAGTTTGTCACTTTATAATAACTTTTAAAGTATCCACATCTGCAACTTCAACATTTTATTTTGTTGAATTTAATTAGTACAAAGAAAATATCTACTGTATATCTCACGTTTGAATCAGTTATCTTCCGACGTTAAAAATAAGACATTGGTATCGAGTACTTTTATAAACCGATCGATCAACTTTTTCACATAGATTCACATTTCTTACTTCATTCTGTCGAATAGTGAAAATCGCAGTTCTCTATCTACTTGTGTCTTCTACAGTTATTCAAAAAACAACGACAGACATGATATTTATAAAGATATAGTAATCGAATTTTTTTGTTTAATTTATCATCTGATTTTAATCAGTTATGAGTATTCATTAATTATTGAATTCTTAGAATACAACATCAAAAATTGAAATTAAATCTCAAATAAATAAATAAAAACTTGTATGTATATTTTCATTTAAGATTGATGATGGAACAATTACCACAAGTATTTCTTGCTGATCATGCTCTTTATTTAGAAACAGGTATCTTTTTATGGCATATAAATCCATTGAATATTTTGAATATGCTTTTCTTTTGTACTTTAGATTCTCAATTGCTTTCATTACGTCATGCATATAAAACAAATACAATGGAAAATTTAACTGATCAATTAAAATCTGCACTTATAAATGGTATTTCACGTAAACAAGCTGATGAATGGCGTCGTCGTTGGTTTCGTGTTTATGCATTTCGTGGTCAATTGTACGTAAACGTCTAATTTTCTGATAAAAAAAATTAATGACATATTTTTTCCACTAGATTAACATTAAAAACAGCTCAAATATTACTTGATAATAATCAATTAACTTATGATGATCTTTGTGCTGATCCACATTGTTTACTTCGTTTTCCATTTCAACTTTATAAGTAAAAGAAAAACCATCTAATCAATTTATTAAATGTATTGTTCCTTCTTTTCTAGTTATCCATCTATTATACAAATTATATTATTTATAATGAGAGAAATACTTATTGCTAGTCGTCATTATTTCGAACGCATTACTAAAGCAAAACATCAGCAACAACAACCATCACAACAAACAGGTAGAATGAAGTTAAAAAATTATGAAAAAAATTTTTGAAAAGATTTTCCAATAGATATGATGTGTATACAAGATGTTAAATCTAAACAATTACAAGAAACATTAGTACATACACAAGAAGCACTTGTTATTCAAATTTTACTTGATGTTTTACATCAATATAAAAAAGTTTGTTATGTCTAAAAATAATATTATTATTCATATATTTGGTTTTTTTATTTAATAGACTGCATGTTTACCTGCTTATCGAGAACTACAAGGAGTTATTTGTTCATTTGTTCATCAAATGTTTATTACTAATCCAGTTCTTGCTAAACTTGTTCATTTTCAAGTAAGTTTTGAAATCAATTTTTATAATTCGAAGATATTTTGTTTTATAATTATAGGGTTATTCATCTGATCAAATTAAACCTCTGATTTATAGTGTTCCATCAATGCATATATGTCTAGATTTCATTCCACAAATGTTAGCTAGTAGTGAGCTCGATACACAGGTATGTGTAATAGATTATAATCTATGTCGCTTTTTTGTTCTCTTGATTGCGGCGGTGCCTATAAGAAGCGGTGATATACCAATAATAGATTGCTGAGCAGAAGGTAGACAACTGTTTCATTATCAAACTATTATCGATATAGCACACATTATATTGAACGGCCTATTGATGGTTTTGTTCAGTTCGAATCGCATGGGTATGGATATGCAGTGTTGATTTAAATATTGACTGTAAGTTACCGACTTAGAGTCCATTGAAGCGCTGACTACATTGACATCCGCCTACAATACAACATTGAGACACTTGCATTATCGAAATATGCCTTTTTTTGTAGCGGTGTGTTCTAATACTTTAGTGTGCACCTCTTACATCAAGTCAGTGACATCAGTGTTCAGTAAATTGAAACTGCACATTTATAATAGAATATGAAAATTGATAGAATTCTGTTCGAGATTATATTAAAAATAAGAAATAATCAAGTAATGGGTTGAAGATTATTTGACCAAGCTTGATTTCAATTTTTTCCTTAATAATTTTTGAAGAGGCAAATGCTTGCTGGTTTTTCAAACATAGAATCTTCCGAAAACCCCAAATTAAGTTTTTCATATCCAGAAATTCTATTTGAATTACTCACAATGATAGAGCAAGCGATTCTCTATAAACAATATCTTCCGACTCTCTACAATGCGTTTAGAGCGAAATGCATCAATCTTACGGAAAATATTATAGTAATTTTTTCTGCTATTTTTCTAAAAAAAAAGGATAATCCTTTGTTTTTGAGTATAAAGATAGAGATTGGGACCCTCCAAAGACGTGACAGACGTTATTGAAATGCGATCAGGAGTTGTATATAAATAGCGTCTCGTTCTAATACATGAATTACTTCCTTAGTGCATTTCTTGAGGATTAAGTGGAAGGATTGTAAAGAACTCTACCCCAAAATAGATAGAATAAAACAATCTTCGTGAGATTAGCAACAGCAACTACATCGTGTTTGACATTTTAATCTCATTGGGATTACGCTAACAATGTTTTTAAAGAACATCAACAAATGCTCATAAAGTGTAAAGCCTTACGATATCTTATTTAATTTAGATCTTTGGCTTTGAACTACTAACTGATCTTTCATCATTTTATCCAATACGAACAGCTTTACTTGTTGTTAAACTAGCTTTACAAGTTTATGCAACATTATTACGAGGTAAATAATTCATAAATTAAATAATATCTATTTAAAAGAAAAACATAATTCGTTATAGTTTTATCAAATGACGATCGTCTACGATTTTTTTCACGTACATATAAATTTCTTACACAAATGAGTTCAATATTTCCACCATTAACACAAAATTCAGTTTATGTTCTTCAACAAGCAATACGTGCTTGTTCTTTAGTATGTGTTTTGTTTTGTTTTTTGTTTATTTACATATTAATTTTTATATTTTATTAATAATCTTTAGTCACCATCAAATTTACCACAATTAAAATGGACATCAGATTCATTAGGTCGACCACGAAGGATCGACACTTAAATAAAAAGAAGAACGAATATTTGTATCTGTTGATTTAAAACATAGAAAAAAGACAACGCGGGATTCTTTGTAAATAAAATTTCAAAAGAAAAACACAAAAATCTACTTAAATCACCGAGTGAAAATTTGATTGTTTTTTTGTTTTCTTTATGTACGAGTTAATTTTGATGATAATGTGAAACGTCGTTTATTTTGTATTGATGGTATAGTTGAACAAAGTGATGGTGTTTGCGATTGTAAACGACTATGTGCAGTTCGTAGACGACTTGGTGTTTGACGATCACTATATACTGATTGGCGATGAACTTAATTGTTAAAATAAATGAATAAATAAATTAGTAAATATCTATTTAGTGTAAACATACTGGAAGATGTTGGTCGAGATTCAAGTACATGAAGATGAACAGACAGACTATTAAAGTAAAATCAAAATTTAGATTAGATAATAATCTTTGCTTTTTTTCCCCATAATACCTGTCTACGGGTAAACCTTTTGCTCGTTCACTTTCAAAAAATCTAACAAATTCTTGTGACATACATGAACGTTGACCACATTCAACAATTCTATCATAAAGTGCTAAAAAAAAACAAAAAAAAGAATTTCGACAAAATTAAATGTAAAAAATTTTACTAGGATCACGTCGAACAAGATTATAGAGAAGACGAAATGCTGTTTTATTATATGTTAATGCTCCAATTGCTACAGCACAAGCACTATGCATTTCAGCTTCATCACCTGCATCTTCACTTGTTTGTGGTGGTGATCGAACATACAGTTTATCAATTAAACGTTCAAGAACTTGACAAGATATAAATCCATCACTTATACCTGTTCGAATTCGAGCCAATGATGATACATATTTAGCTAAAACAACACAATAATTAAATATAAATTTTAGAGATTCAATCTTAAACCAATAATAAGAAAAAAAATCCAATAATCATTTAATAATTTTTAAAATAGACTAGAACAATTGTATTTATGAATTTCCAATAATATAATAACTAAGGATGCGCCGCTCATACCGCACCAATTGCTCCATCTTCGCTTCTCTTCTTATTTGTTCGTCAGGGAGTCGTACCCTAATTATAGTAGCTGTTAAACTCTCTTTACTAGGAATTTTTAAAAACAAATGTTCATTAAATACTGGAAAGTTAAGAGAAGGGATTTAGTCGTTGAGAGACTCTTGAGTTTTAAGATATTGGTTGTTTTATTCCCCTATATCATATTCATTTTTTAAACTTATTAAAAAATCGTAATTCATAGTCATTAAAAATTATTCTGATAACCGATTGACTTTACTAAAAATTCACGTGTACATCCCTTATTTCAAAAGTAAAGAGTATTTTGTCACTTAAAATTGTTGATATTTTTCCTTCCAACTTTTCTGCAACACATCAGTTTCATATCAAATGCCGGGTATAATATTGAGACGTGTTCTGAGTCAGAACAAACCGAAAAGATTCAATTAAAGTAACAACAAGCTCAACAATCTTCGTAACGTCCTTGAAAATTTATCACAATGATAAGGTTTACATTCAAGCAAACTTCTAATATTTACACACACTATTGAACTTGATTTTTATCAAAAGAGATAAAGTTTTCTTTTATTATTACTGTATCAATATGTTCATGCAACCAACTATTATACCCTTAAGATTAAAGCTAATCTTTTACAACCGATTTTTATTATTGATGTAATAAATCTTATCTTTATTCTAAAAAAAGAAGTATCTGCAACTACGATGTAAGTAGTCTAACAAACATCTTAATCACTTATATTACTTGTTTTCTACATAAAAAATTAAACTGGAAAATAAAATCGTTGATTACCTATTTGTGTCATTAAAGTTATATTTGTTTGTAATAAAAGATCAGCAAGTTTCATAATTGCATGTGCTGTAAGTGTAACTTGTTCATCATCACTATTAGCAATAACACGTGCTAGAACAATAACCTACAAATAAAAATAATTAGAACAATAGAATTGAATAAAATATAAAGAAGACAAACTTGAAAACAAGCTATAGCTGAATATGTTGGATTTAATGAATCAATAAATGGTTGAAATGACTTATAAACAAGCGTATTGGTTCCTTTTAAAATAGATTGATTTTCAAGATTATTATAAGCAAATAACGATAATGCTAATAGAGCTCGTAATTTTAAATCAGGTTCATCTATTCGAATAAATTGAAAAACAACATCTTCAACATTAAATTCATTAGCTAAATGTTGTTGATTTGCACTATTATTTAATACTAATTTTGATAAGGTTAAACAACATTCAACCTATGTAAAGGAAATTTATGAATTTATTAAAATCTATATATATATATTTTTTGCGCTCTTACTTTTAAATCAATATATTGTGTTGATTCCATTACACGTATGAGTAAATCAATAGCATTTTGTTCAACAATAGCATTTTGTAATAGAGTATTTGGAACAAGTGAAATACCTATTTAAAAAAAAGACAAAAAAAAATTTCCTTTTTTCTTTTCTGTGTTTTCCGAAACGTACCAATACAAAGTACACTAAATGATCGAACAAGTACAAGCAAAACTCGATGTGTTAATTGATGATGTTGTTTAAGTAAACGAATAAGTGGTGCAAGAATATTTTCTCTATATAATCTATTTTGATTTTGTTCACATTCATCGGCTAATGCAATTATAGCATTTAATGATACATATTGTAATTTTTCTGAATGTGATAGAAGCATTGTTACAATTTGTGGAATACCAAAACATTCAGCTACATAACGTTGTTGGGATTTTATTTGACCACCAATTGCCCATAATGAAAAAGCAGCTTGTTCACGAATTTCTAATGCCCATTCTTCGGAACTACGAATCTAAGTTTAAAAATATTAATATGTGTTAAGATATGTTCATAGTAGTAGAAGGAATAGATTCGAAGGAGCAGAACAAAGATATGGAGAATAATACTTGATTTCAGAGGATGAAAACATACAAGTCAAAACGAACAACTAAGGTGTGAAAAAAGAAAGAAAAGAACAACCAAGTGACAGGAATTTAAGAAGATCACTACGAAATATAGTTGACTTACGGTGGCAGCAACGTAGTACATTTTCTGCAATAAAGCATCAACGTGAATGAAGTTAGTTTTAAATATAATTATTAGCATCCACTTCTTTTTCCTTTGTTTTAATATTACATTTCCACATATGTACAAATAAAATCAAAAAAGATTATCTGCGTTATTTTTTTTTTAATATTTTAATGTGATTCAGTCAAACTCTTTGTTTGATTTATTATTTATTATTTATGTTTTAATTACCTCCATCAATTCATTTAGTGGTTTTTGTATATTAAGAGTTTTCGATAAAAATTGTCTTTGATTTTCTACATTATTTATTGCTAATGCTTCAACAGCTAATGATCCTTTATAACGTATACCAAATTCTCTATCTTGCATAAGTTCAACAATAAGTTTAAGTGCACCTTTCGATGATGCTAATGTTTGATTAACCATATTATTATATGTTATTGATGCTAATGCTGATGCTACAGTACCTCGTAAAACTTCTGAAAGAAAAAGAAAAAATTTTTCTTTTCAAATATTATTCGTTTTGTTGTTTTTATTTACTTGAATCAAGTGCAAGTAATTCAGTAAGTTTTTCAATAATTCCATATTTAGCTAATTCATTTTGCATAAATTCATTTTTACGACAAAGTAAATCAATTGCATTACATGCATTAACAAGGACATCTTCAATAGATGAATCAAGCATACGTGATAAACCTATTATTGCATCGGACTCAAGAAAACGTTCCTTAAATGAATAAAAAAAAAATGCAATTCTAATTTGAAAATTCTTTTTTGTATTATTACTTGATTTGATGGAACAAAACATATATCAGCAATTAATATTGATGTTTTAGAACGTATTTCATCATTATTTAATTTTAATAAATTTGAAAACATTTCAGATAAATTATCTTCAGCTGTTGATATTGCTAAACGTACTTCTGTATTTGTTGATATATTGCACAAAACAGATAATGTTGATAATATTAAATTAGCATCAGTCATTTTAAGTAATTTTATAAGTCGTTTAATACCATCTATTAAAAAACAATATATTTAATTATATTTGAATATTTAGTTTTTTTTTTCAGAAACCTGTTTCTAATAGTGGACGCCAAAATTCATCTCCATGTGTTGTCATTACATGTAAACATTGAACTGTAGCTCGTTTCATTGGTAAATCAGGATGGTTTATTAGATCTTTATATAATACAAAAAAATTCATTTTTTATAAGTCCAAAAAGCTTGTCAGCATAACTTCTTTAGAGATAACATATGAAACTCACATGTGTTTTGTAGTCTCATTGTAGTAATACAAAATACATAAAATGAAAAGTCTCTAGCAGACTACATAGTTGTTTTCCAAGAAAAATCGATTGCCTTGGAAACGATCTATCTCATTTATTTCTACACTTCGAAAAAAAGTTTTTTGTAGTGGTATCCTATTGTTTATTTGCCTTGTTACTTTGCATTTGAATACTTCATTTTTCTTGATTTAATCGATAAATAAATCTGCGGTGCATATTCATTATAGTTACAGCAGGTCTCAGCACACTATTCTGCCGCTATGACTGAGTGATTATCTTGTTGAATCTGTATTCACAAGGTACGGTGTGAGAAATTCAGTACCATCAGTCATAGAATGATTCTCGACTAGTCACTAACTGATATCTGTCTCGTTCAATCGTGTGCTGCCTATCCTTGCGACATACAGTTGCTCTTGTGGATAGTATGTGGTTCGTTAGTGTCTATGGAGAACGCAAGAACGTTGCATCAGGCCGGTCTTCTGTCCAGAGCTACAGCTAGTCACAATTGTAGGGAAGATATCGAACTGTTGAGTCTGCGACTAGGCATCACTCTATAACGCAAAGTAGCTGAAAGGTAAGTGTATTCATACTTCTTCCAATACATTATGAAATCGTAGAAACTTTGATATTGACTATTTCCTAAAGTTACAATTTAATTAATGCACAATTTTTTGTATTGACCACATGATGACTGTGATAAATCATTGTATCACTACTCATAATTCTTAGCTTCCTGAATAAAACTTTTTATTTGCGACAAAATCCAAAACTGTACTATTTAGAATATTTACGAAGCTATTTCAACCGTTCAAATTTCGAAAAAGACTTTAGAATGTTTTATAACAATCTAAGTCTTTGTATTAATTCTGTTCAGTACTTGTTTCTGTTGCTCGAAATCTCTTGATAAAAGAGTCTGAATTCATCAATTACTAAGAGAGGAAACTACAAAATCTCGACTTAAAACTTACACTCACTATATTTTTCTTCGAAAACCATTATATGAATTTCTTAAAATAAAGTAAAAATAACTTACCAACAAGAATCGTCCATGTTGGCACAAGTCGATTATTTAAACGAATAAAATATTCAATTATATTTGTATGTAAATTACTAGCAGCTAAATGAATAACTGTATTTCCTAATTCATCTTTATATGCAATATTAGCATCTAATGAAACTAAACATTGAACAGCATCTAATGCACCTGATGTTGATGCTAATAGAAGTGGTGTTGATTGACGACTATTATGAAGAAAATCTTTCAATTTATTTTTCAAATATATTCTTTTGTAACTAACCTATCTTTAGTCCTTTGTTCAAGTAAATCATTATGTTTATTATAGAGTAATCTTAAAATTGGAACATGATCACAAAAAGCAGCATGATGAATAGGTGTCCATCCTAATATTAAAATTAGAAAATTATGAATTTTTTTGTCTCATAATTTTAAGTAAATACCTTGATGATCAACTTGAATTGCTGCCATATTACCTAAAAGACAAGATGCTGCATCTAAACTTCCATGACGACAAGCAAAATGTAATGGCGTGCCACCTAAATTATATACAAAAGAAAACAAATTTGATTGAGAAATTATTAGTCTTAATTATTTACCGTTTGGTACATAATTAACTTCTGCTTTAGAATTAACATCAACGCCTAATAGAATTAAAATACCAATTATAATTGGACGATTATGAATAGCCTAATAATTCGATAAGAAAATATTTATTTTAAATAATATATATATATGTATGTAAAGTAGAATCGTTCATACAGCATAATGCATAAGTGTAAGACCATCCCGAAGATTAGGTTTACTTAAACCAGATATTGGTGTTTTACGTGCTAATGCTTGAAAAATACATGCAAGACCTCGTTGAGCAGACACACGTAAACCATGTTCTGGATTCTGAATAAAGAAAGAAATAAAACAAATGAACGAAATTAAAAGAAATTATTTAATTAAACCTTGTAATATGTGGCTTTCTTTCGACCAAAATATTTTTTATACATTTCATACATAACTGTTTCATTAAGAAAACGTTTTGCAGAAGCATTTTCTATTGATCTTTGAATGACACGTAACCATACTGGAGATAGACCATAATATGGTTCAATATCAATGACCAAATGATAGTATCTATATAATAATCAATGTATAAATTGCAGAATAATATTTATTCCTATGCATTACTACTAAATAATATTCCCTTTTTCAATTATCTTAATCAATACTAATCGCAAACTCGATATTTTTTCTATCATGGACAAAGAACAAGAAAAGACATTCTTCTAGTGATGAGAGGGACTAATCGTTGTTGATGATGGTTTCACCCTTAATAATACATGTACTAGCAAAAAATACGATATCATTTTTTTGGAGTATCAATCATTAGCGGAGCTAGAGAGGGGCTCAGCCCCCTAGAAAAATTTTTGAAAGATATATTTTTTTTCTTCAAAGATCCTTCAGGAAGGCTGAAAGGTTCGTAGGGAGAGCTAAGTGTCACTAGTGTCAATACACTTGAAACATCTTACACGAACAGCATGACTTCTAATGTCTTTTTTTTCGAGATTGATTTCTTTTTTTGATTTACTCATATTTTGTCTATTCTGCATGTTTATATGTTTGACAATTTTGTTGTTTACAAAAAAACAATGGATTAATTTTACTATGACAATTGTAACAGTAAATAAAGAAGCCATCGTTACTGAAAAATTTTTGCATTAAACTTTAGAACACGTGACTCGTGAAAATATGACATTTCATGCGCAAGCCTTTCATGACCATAATAGATATCATTCCTAATGAAAAAGTATTTGTCTTGGGTCGACACCATCTTTCTCATATCTTCACTCCTCTCGGTGTCTTTGATACGATAAAGAAACGGTTATTCTAATTCAAAATTGTTATTTAGTCGTCTAAAAAATTAGTCATTAGTAATTTTATTATTATTCAATACTGATAGCTATAGATTTATAGAGAGAGCGTGTGTGTCTTATAGGTCATGATTATATTTTAAAGGGTTATAATTGCATTAGTAGTCAAGGTTAATTTAACATTTTGACATTATTTGATAGAGAACAATTGTAAGTTTTTATTCTTATAGACGTAAAGTCAAAAAAGACTCTTTAAAAAGTATTACTTCTAGCTATAATATAAAAATTTAACATTTTTCCGGTAGAAAAAAAAAATAATATGTAATACTTTTTTTTCTCTTTAGTTACTTTTATTTATATTGTTACTATGTACTTTGCATTCCTAGCATCCTTTACTATTGTTCTCTAACCATTGATTTGATATTTTCATAAGAGATCAATTTACTAGTACATTTATTGCAATCAGGTTGTTCCTTTCAATAGTAAAAAAAAAAACTCTGATAATTGATAAAATAAGACCACCTGATAATTTCATGATTCTGACTGTTACTAGGCTTCGCATGATTGCATTGTTTTTGCAAGAATATATAAAAATGAATGCTAATAAAGAAATTGTGTCAGATTTATTCACTTAAAATCCATAGTAACGATATACATTGAAATAAAAAATAGAAAAAGACAATATATTGTATATTGTTTTATTACAGCGAAACATTATTAAATTTTTATGTTGTAGCTAGAAGTGATATGTTGAAAAAATTATTTATGACCTTTTATCTTTAAGAATAAAATAAAATGATCTTTCTCTATTAAATATAAGTAAAGTACTACATGAAACTTGGTTACAGATGAAGTTATAATTGTTTGAGAATGTAATCATAACATTTGAAACATCTTGTATATTTGCAGAAGAGAATAGAACAGAACGTAAAATTCAAACAAGTCTCATTTCTTCAATGATTAAAAAGAATATATATATATATATATTTGCGTAGTGATGGTATGAGAAAGTGAAAAAAGAAGTTAAATAAGTACACTTATATCTAATGCTCTTCATTATTCATCAAGGGCTTTTAGTTCCAAGGACAAAAGATGTAAAACAACAAATGTCTTTATATCGTTTACTAACTATGAAACTAACACGATTGTATTGAAGCAATTTGATCATCAAAAAGCTTTAAAAAAAGCATAGATAATACTCTTCTTTTTATTGTTGTATGATATCCTTCGATATTTTCAAGGTTTTTCTATTTCTAATTTACTAAAATTTTTTCAAAGATGTCTCAAAATTAAAATTAAAAACTCTACTTTTTTCCATCAATTTCTACGATAGGTAAATGATATTCCATATTAGGTGAATTAGGTATATCCAAATATCCATATAAAATTCGACGAGATGTATCAAGTAATGATTCATTTTTTTCCTTGAACATTCTATAAGAAAAAAAGAACAAATCAAAATAATATTATACATCATTGAAATCTATTCATAAAAAAAATAATAACTTACTCAGAAAGTTTATTATTAAGTGAACGTGTTTCATATTCAAATTGTATACCACCATGTAAATGAAACATTGTTTCGTGATTAATAGGAAATATATTCGTTGATTGCTTTTTCATATACATAAATGGAGGAAGTTCTCGTTCGGTACGAACATCTTCACCTATGAATAAGAAAATCAAAAATTAATTTTTACTTGTATGTGTTATATTGAAATATATTAACGAACCAATAAGCATTGGTAATAATCGATTCATATTTGGAATTTTTTTCATACGTCGTTTAAGTCCAACAAGTAGAGTAAATAAAAAACATGAAAGTTCAAGAAGATACATATATTTTCGAACTTCATTTTTTAATGAAAATGTTTTACGTAAATAATTTTCATGAACTTGAAGTAAAGCTTTTAAACGTTGAAATTGTTGATTATCTAATCTATTTCAAAAAAAAACGATCAAGTATTTTTTATAAATTTCTTTGATATTTATATACTTTTCTTGAATAGTTTTTATTTGTGATTGTATTGTATAATTTCCATTAAACATTAAACAATTTTTCCATTGAGATATTTGATCAAGATAAAGTGTTAATACCATTGATAAATCATCAGCATATGAAGCTAAAAATTCATCATCGGAATGTGTTTGTTCTTCAGATTTTGGTTCAGTTTGAAAAGAATTTTTTGCTTGACTATAATCAGGATCTTGACTTATATCTTGTAAACCTTGAAAAACACAAATAATAAAACGAAATTCTCGAAAATATTAGAAAAAAAAACCTATTCATACCTGCTGCTTCAAATTCATGTATAACTGAACGTGCTAATGAAGATTCACTTGCATGCCGCCAACGATCAGTAAATTTAGCACGTTTTTCTCTTGACATAAAAACTCCATGCCATAGAGATTTTAGCCAAGCATCACAATTAATCATAATTTGTCCAAGACGTGTATCAATATAAGCTAATCGTAGGTTGTAGTTTTTGAAAACAAAAATTATTATTATTGATAAATAATTATTTACCTGTTGGGATTTGACATGTTGAACTAAGATCAAAATTAGCTTCGAGACTTAATAATGGTTGTGCATTAAGAGAATAAACACCGATTGTTAATTCACGTAACAATTGATGAACTTCACGAGTATCAAGACGTGGAATACTATCGTCAACTGGAAATAAAATATCGATATGAGACTCACTAAATGCTTGTAACTGTCGAATCAATCCAATTGGATTTTCAGTTGGTGCCTAAGAAAATTTGTTTAATTGAATATATAAAACAAAATCAAATTGACATAAAAAAAATACTTTATAAATATCTGCATTGGTTAAAAGCCAATGTGTATCACGTGCTGCAAGTAATTCAGTTACATCCCATTTATCAAATTTCGAGAATAAATCAAATACATTTCGTACAGATATTTGATCCATTGATTGTTGAATAATAAGATCTGGTCTATCATCAGCCGCAGATATTGATGGTGAAGCAAGACGTGCTCGACTTGTTTGTCTAGATGGTAGTCGACGTTGAACATGACCAGCTGTTGATGCTCTTTGTTTAGTATACATTCCTGCCATTCAAAGACAAAATTGATCTTTCTTTTTTTTTTTTACTTATACAACTTTTTGTTGACTACACACATAAAAAAATAACACATTTCTTTTTGCTTATTCTGTTTTTTAACTGTAGCCATCTTGACTTCTTTCGTTCTGTGTCGAGCAGGAGTACCCTCCATAGAATAAAAGTGTTACGATGAAAAAAATGAAGACAAACAAAATTCATTGCGTCGCCATTTTTCGACTTTTCAATCTTATTTTTGATGTATTATCTTCTATAATTAGTTTATTAATTTTTGTTATTAAAACTTTTGAAACTACTATATTCTATTGTTGATTTATGATTATTATAAGTATTTTATATAATATTATATTCATGATAGTCCTATCGAATATCATTATTCTTATTATATATGAAACAAAGAAATATGAAACATATACACAAGATCGATGTCGTACAATTCTTTTTCTTTTTTACAAAAATAATTCTTTGAAGTATATGTTGTTCTTAAATTCATAAACACTACATTAACTATATGTGCAAACAAATGCAATGTCCTCGAACAAAAAAAGTTATAACACTCGAAGCATTGATGAAAGGACATAGAAAAAAGAAATATGAGATTTATTAAAAAATTATTTATCGAATAGAATAATATAAATTAAAATCTTATTAATAAATATATACGAACAAATTTTATTTGTTAATGATGGATTTTCATACAAGAAAAATGTATATGATATCGGACTTGAAATTTTGTAATAGTTAAATTTTATATATTGAATATGTATTCGGTTATTTTAGACACTCTGAGAAAAACTTCATCACAAAAAATGAGTTAAGATGTACACTGTGTGTACTTTCATTTATATATATTTTAAGTTCAAACCGTATTTTTCAAAATTAAATAATCGCTTTTGTATATTCTGAACATTCTTAGGTTTTTTAAAAACTAGAGTTTTTTCATTGTTAACGAAGATAGTAATGAGAAGTAGAAAAACTAATTCTAAATAGTATAAATCCTTGTTGAAGATCTCATTCTTAAACATAAAGAGATCTCTGGAAAATCGTTCTGGTGGAATGATATTTTAGAACCGATGTATTCTGATAATATTACCATATTCCCAATGACTAGATGCTTGCGAATCGTATTTTTGATGGAAACTTCCAGAGAAGACCACTGCGAAAAACACAAAGCTCTCAAAAGTTGTTTTTCGTTTGTGAAGCTTGTTGTGTTGATGATTTTGATAATAAAAAAAGATTTAAATTTATTCAATAAATTATGGTGCTAGAACCAACATAATCAAAAACCTCTACTGTTACTGACTACTGCTGAGTGGTTGTTGACGTTTTCGAGTATTTTAACGCTAACACAATGATTTGTTGAATAAATTTGAATATTGTTTTTTACCAAAATGATCAGCACAACGAGCTTAACATACGAAAAAATATTTTTCTTTTTGAGAACCTTGTGTCTTTTTACGATTAAATAATCATAGAAGTATCTATGAAACATATGATTCACAAGCGTTTATCATTGGTAGATAAATATAATTTGTGGCGTGAAGTCTCTATTCTGAAGTTCTTTGAATGTTTCATTAAAGAAATAGAAAATGATTTACTGATTATGTTTTAAATAACCAAGTTTAATTAAGTATCATGTGAAAGAACGAATATTTGATGAAATATGATCTAAAATGAGTGTTGAAATATAGAAGTAAAAATTTGGATCCTCCCACAGAGGCATGACAGACGTTGTTGATAAAGGATCACAGACCTTATATCAATAATGTCTTGTTATAGTGTATGAATTACTTCCTTATTGTATTATTGTAGGATTAAGCAAAAGGATGATGCAAAAAATGTGTCTCAATAAAACAATCTCTCTGTGACTAGTAACAGCCATCACATCGTGTTTCATGTTTTAATCTCACAGGAATTGCACTAACAGCTTTTTACATATATTTGTGGTAAAAGAACTTGTTCAAAAATAAAAAAAGAATAACTCTTATATAAAAAATCAAAATCCAATAGAAAATGTTCATGTTCAATTTTGATTGAATTTCGCTCTTTATACAGTGTAGTAGAGAAAAATATTTGACAATAAATTTTTTTGTTTCTGATGTGTTGTAAAGAATGAACCGAAGAATAGGTAAATATTCATGTTAATGAAAAGCAAATATTATAAAACAAGATTTTGATTCAAAAGAGAACATTTGTAATGCACTTGGTTAAAGTCCATTAGTTTTCAATTGTTCTAAGATAAAACTCTAATTTTCTATTGTTATATAACAATAAATCATTAGAATGATTTTGCAAACAAAAATATAAAAAAAAAGTTTTCTTTTATTTTTACTGTGAAAAATTTTTATTACAAAAATATATCAAATAATTAAGACTTACGTTAATTAGTGACTTCTATGTGCAGAACATGTCTTATTCACAAGTAGAACTTGATTTATGTTATTTAACACAAAAATACATTTATCAATATAAAATATGTCAAAGAGTTTCTATTATATATATATATTGTTTTGAAGTCTATTAGAACGAATTAGATTTCTTTTAATATTGCTATCCAAATTCTATTTCTAATGGTTATAAATTCTAATCAAATAAAATATTGTATAATATCGATATATATATATTAAGAGCTTCTTGTCGAACAAAGTAGAGCGACACATATTGGATATCAAGACAACAGGTATATTAAATTAATAAAGGGTATTCTTCAGTCATTGTAATGAAAACAATATCTAGTATATTATTTCAATTATAATAATAATAAATACTTTGTCCCTGATTTTTCATATTGCAATAGCAAGATTATTTTTCTGTTGACTTTACTCAAGATTATGTATAGTATGCACAATATTGTTTTTTTGTAGTAGTTTTTTCTAAGATATACTATGTAGATTCTTTTTTTGCGTCTATTGCTGATAAAAAATATTATAAAATATAGGCTTTATTCTAGGTAAATAATATTGAATATCGTTCTCATACAGTTTTGTCATTTATTCTGTCTGAAAAATTTCAGTCAGACTGAATTGATGATGGATTGGTTTTAAATGATAGAACGTTTTTTTTCTCTGTCTCTTTCTTCTCTTTTTCACGTATTTCTACGTAGTAATATACAAAACCTGTAGTGTTGTTATTCATTTGATATTATTTCTCTCAATCTCATCTTTCTCATCGTCAAACACCAATTGTATTTGAAATATCAAATGACATCAACCTATCGATGACCGGTTTTGAATATATATTTTATCTTCACATGATGATTTGAAGAAATTGAAAAAAAAAATTCTTTTTGTTTTTTGTTTTAATCTTTTTCAAAAATAAGAAAAATTAAAAGTATCACCAGACTACTTAATGATACTATTATTTGATCTCTTTTATGTGTCTTTGATTTAATATTTAAAAGATAAGTCGACTTAATAGATATTTTCTTCTAATTGACTTTTTTTCTCGTCTTTTGAATATAGACCTTGTCATAACAGAGTATATGATATAGAATTCAGTTTACTTAAGTGTTACATTTACGTTGTAGGTATTGATATATTGAAGGAGTATCAGATTTTCATTTTGTTTTTTATATGCTACATAAAGAAAAACAACATCTTAGATGTATTATTTTTTCAGAATATCGAATTGTATTCTCTCTTTTTTTCTCTCTTTCTCTTACTTAGCTTTTCGTTTTTTTTGCTTGTCATTCTTGTATCCTTTTTTAGATCGCAGACAGAAAAAGAGAGAAAGAGACGATTAATCGTTTGTACCATACAAATATTTCAAAGATGATGTTTGATAATGGTTTTATTCATTATCTATTCATTGTTTTATTATTAGTAGCATCAATACATGTAACAAAATCACAAATTACTAGCACAGCACGTATGTTACTTATACTATTTGATTCTTAATAAAAAGCTTTTTTTGTTAAAAAGAACAAAGACACGTATATATATTTTCTTATGCATCTATGAATGTTATAGTAAGAGACAGATGTTTTAAATTTGTTAGTTTCAATTCTATCGTACGACAGTCAATTTTCAGGCTGTTGATATTAGACAAATGCAACTGTGCTCAATATGAGATAATCTTTGTGTAAGTTGATGAAAAGAATCAACAATAAAACAAAGCATGTTTATATGTATATAAGACATTCATATAGAATAGAATAATTCTGTATCGTTTTGCTTCTCGTTTTGTTCTCTGAGAAACATGATTAGAAATTTATTTGCTATTTTTTTGATACAGAAGAGCCAACAATGACTAGTTCAACTGAGATCAGCCCTGAAACTACACCATCTACACCTTCTGTTTCCATTGAAAGTACTACTTATGTGTCTACAACTTCACTGTCGACTGATACTACAGAAAGTAGTACTAGTGAATCTACAACATCCATATTCGAGCCTTCTACTACTGTTCGTGCAACCACTACAGAAGACTCAACGTCATCAGGTGAAACGATTTCATCAATCAGCACAATCACTGGTTCAACTTTTGTGTCCGAATCTTCGAATCCGTCTTCGTCCACAACTGAAATGTCAACTAATTCTGAGAGCACGACAGAGTCAATATCGACTTCTTCATTTTCGTCTGAATCTAGTTCTAGTTCGGTGATAGATTCCAGTTCGACTCACATGACGACAACAGAACTGACTACGTCCTTTTCAAGCCAGTCAACTGTTATAAGTAGCGAAGATACTTCACCTACCTCTGTATCTACTGTTCAGACATCAGCATCAAGTAAATTAAGCACAGAAATAACATCGTCTTTATCTGATATCACAAGTGGGACAACGGTGCCTATATCAACTTCTGCATCTTCAAGCGAAACGTCGTCATCAGTAACAAGTGATCAATCCTCGAGTGCATCTGTATCTTATAGTAGTTTTTCAACTTCAACATCAAATACAATTTCCATCAGTTCTTTATACCCAAGCGAAACTACATCTGGTCAGCCAACTATTTCTTCAGAACCATCAATAACACAAACAGAAAATTTGTCTTCATC